CTGGGGATGGTGCTGAGGGACATGGGGCAGTGGTGGCCTGGGCAGGGCTGGGGGAGGGGTTGAACTTGGGGATCTTAAAGGGCTTTTCCAACCCAAACCATCCCATGATGTTATGATTCTAAAGTGAAAGGAGCTTTCCTGCCTGTGAGGGTCCAGAGGAGCCTGAGCACCCACCTCAGCACCACCCCCAGGGCCTTGGGCAAGGACCAACACCTGGAAAAAGGTGGAACACATGGAATTCACTCCCCTGGGTGCACTGGGGGGGGGGTTGGTTGTTCCACAACAACTCCCCCTGGCACTGACCCACCTAGATTTTCATGGAAAACACCCTTTTTATTGGAGCATCCTTTCCCCACGGGGCCCTCTGCCCGTTTTTCTAACCCCTCCAAAGTTTTCCCACCCCCTGGAAAACCCTCACCCACCACCTTCCAAAAACATCCCAACGTTTTATTAAAAAAAAATAATAATAATTTACTGCATCTTTATATACAAACTGCAAGAAATGTTCAACTTACAAAATACTGCCATTTCACTCCTTGCAGAAGCAGGAGGAGGGAAGAGGGAGATTTCCAGGCAGGAATCCAGCTCTGACTCCAGGGAGGGACATTTGGAAGGAGCAGGGGGGGTCACTTCTTGTCACACAAACAAGGTGAGGCCCCAACCTGGTGATGTGTGAGGGGTTTAGGGGCTCTTGGGTGAGCCCTGGGAGCAGTTCTTTTGGATTTCATGGAGTTACAGGGAAGAGAATCTAAGGAAAGGCAGGAGGGGTAAATCTGCACCCCCTGGAAGATTCAATCCTCTGGCTTTTTCCCCTGAGGAAAGATCCTACGTGGATGTTTCTGAGATTTCAAGGTCAAGAGGCAGAGCAAGAGCTCACCCAGACCTAATTCCATCATGTCTGTGCTTGGGAAGTGATCCTGCTGCCACTGGGTGTGCCTGGGCACCCCGGGATCCAGCTGGGGTTGAGGACAAGCCTCATGGCCTGGAGTTCACAGCAAAATGCACCGAGATTTCAATGTGATCATTGAGGGAAAACCAGGAGCAGGTTCTGACCTGCTCTGGGGGCTGTTTGCAGGTGGCTGAGCTGCTCCTGCTGCCAACAGGGAATCATGGGATCCCAGGCTGGTTTGAGTTGGAAGGAGCCTTAAAGATCACCCAGTCCCACCCCCTGCATGGGCAGGGACACCTCCCACCAGCCCAGGTTGCTCCAAGCCCCATCCAACCTGCCCTTCAGCACTGCCAGGGATGGGGCAGCCACAGCTTCCCTGGGCAACCTGGGCCAGGCTCTCACCACCCTCACACCAAAGAATTCCTCCCTAACATCCTACCTAAATCTCCCCTCTCCCAGTTGGAAACCATCTCCCTTCATCCAATCTATACAATGGAAGGAGCAGGAGCTGCTGGGAACATCTGGAACCAGAACCATCCATCCATGTGTCTTCTGGCCTCAGTCCTACCAGTTCCCTGCAGAGCCCAGAGCTCTTCCCTGGCTAAATCCCTACTCCTGGATCCCCCACGCTGTGTGGGGAGCACCCACGGGGCTGGGAGCAGGGGCTTAGCACACCAGGGGTGCTGCTGGAGCCAGTTGCCCACCACTCATCTCATACAGCATCTCTGCCATCAGCTCCAGGATGTCGGCGTTGCCGATGACCGGGCGGAAGAAGAGATCCGTGATCAGGGGGGCAGGGATGGACTTCAGGGTGGAAGAGATCAGTAAAATTCGGGCAAAACGACCCTGGTCCTCGGGGTGAAGGGGCTGTAGGACCTCCCGGAGAGCTCGTTGGGCTTCCTGCTGCAGGCTCTGGATGTAGAGGGAAGCTCTCAGCCCGGGAACGTCTGCTCAGGGAGAGGAGGGAAATCCAGTGAGGAAGGAACTGAAAACCAGTCCCAGGGTTCTCCCATTCCCACCATTCCCTGTTGCCCAGAAGGGATCATTGAGGCCACGCTGAGTTGCAGGCAGAGCTCCCAAGAGGTGGCTGCTCCAGGGCTGCCATTTGAGGGTGGAAAAGTAATTAAGAGGGAAACCCCCACAGTGCTAATTAGATCCCGGGGTCCTGTGCTGGCTGGCGGGGGTCTGTGCTTTGGCACTTGTCACCCCCTGTCCCCAAGGGCTTGGTGAGGGTTGGTGCTGAGGAACCAGCTCTGCACGGGTGGGGTGTGGGGTGGGATGGTCATGAGTGGGGTGAGATCTGCTCTGTGGGGTGGGATGGTCATGGGTGGGGTGAGCTCTGCTGTGTGGGGTGGGATGGTCATGGGTGGGGTGAACTCCCCCTTTGTGGGGTCGATGGTCATGAGTGGGATGAGATCTGCTCTGTGGGGTGGGATGGTCATGGGTGGGGTGAGCTCCCCCTCTGTGGGGTGGGATGGCCATGGGTGGGGTGAGCTCTGCTCTGTGGGGTGGGATGGTCATGGGTGGGGTGAGCTCCCCCTCGGTGGGGTGGGATGGTCATGGGTGGGGGGAGCTCTGCTCTGTGGGGAGGGTTGGGATGGTCATGGGTGGGGTGAGCTGGGTTGGGATGGTCATGGGTGGGGTGAGCTCTGCTGTGTGGGGTGGGATGGTCATGGGTAGGGTGAGCTCCCCACTGCACAAATGGGGTGGTCATGAGTGGGGCAGGATGGTCACGAGTGGGCTGAGCTCCCCTGTGTGGGGTGGATGCCCACGGGTGGGGGGTGAGCTCTCCTAGAGCCGGGCACTCACCGGGGTTGAAGAGGATGGCTCCCTTCAGGTAGGCATATTCCTTGGGGCTCAGGTCCAGGCTCCAGAAGGTGTTGAGGCAGCACTGCAGCCTCTGCACGGCAGCCAGCGGGGGCTGTGTCCTCCCGGGCTCCTGCCCCTTGCTCTGCCCATCCAGCAGGATCTTCTTGAGCATGCTGGGGGCTGGCACCTCCATCACCTCGAAGGTCACCACCTCCTGCACCAGCCCCAGCAGGAAAAGCGGGACCCAGCAACCCTCCAGCAGCAGGAACTGGTCCTCTCTGGGAAGCAGGTGGTAAGAAGGGAGGTTTTTCATGAAGCTGAGGGTCTTGACCAGGACGTTGGAGGCTGCTTGGCAGGTGGGACGGGGGTTGCGCAGGCAGACGGTGCGGGGCTGGTGGCACCAGCAGCGCTGCTGGGCTGGGCTGGGGCCCTGCTGGAGCTGCTGGCTGAGCAGGCTGTACAGGATGGCAGGAGATTTGTCCTCCCCGTGGCACCTGCACCGCTCACACTCCACCTCCATCCCCCTGCTGCTCATGGCTGAGCTGCTATATCCTCAGGAAAACAACAAAAAAAACAACCCCACAAACTCAACTCTTCCCCCCCCTTCAGCTGGAAAATCCTTGGTTCTCCCAGGCCAGAGCTGCTCCAACCTGCTCTTATAAGGCTGGGTCACCAGAGAAACACCCCTCCACAGCCTTGACCGTTTGGTGATTAAAGAAAAACACCTCCCAGGCGTCCCCGGGTTGATCTTTTCGGGCGGTGTTGTTTTTTTTTTTTTCCCCCTGCCCTCCCAGTCCCTCCCCCCCATAACTTAGTTTTCTCAATGGAGGGGTTGGGCCTTATCACAATTACCCCAGCAGGATAAACAGAGTCATTAACCCAGCCTGTACCATGGCACCAAGGCCCCAGGTGCAGGAGGTTCACACACACACACACGTCTGGGCTCCACATCCCCACGGCCTTGGGAAGAGCAACCTGGAAATGGTGTTATCAGAGGCTTGTTTGCCTGACCTTGCTGAGGGGAGACGGGGCTGGTGTGGTGGAGGGAGGGAAGCCCAGCCAGGCAACAGGCTCCTGGGGGGTCAATCCCAGGGAGGGACTGGTGGTTTGTAGCCCTCCCAGGAAACGTGGGGCAGGGGAAGGGTGAATTCTCAGGTTTTCAGCTTAGAAGCATGGGTTGGTTGGGTTGGAAAAGAGCTGGAACATCCAGTCCAAGTGTTCCCCCAGCCCTGCCCAGTCCCCACTGCCCCGTGTCCCTCAGCACCATGTCAGCACCAGGGCTTGGAAGCCCCTCCAGGGATGGGGACTCCCCCCTGGGCAGCCTGGCCAGGGCCTGACAACCCTTTGGGGAAGGAATTCTTCCCAATGTCCAACCTAAACCTTCCCTGGTGGAACTTGAGGCTGTTTTCTCTTGTTCTACCCCTTGTTCTTGGGGAGCAGAGCCCGACCCCCCTGGCTCCAACCTCCCCTCAGGCAGCTGCAGAGCCAGCAGGTCTCCCCTCACCTCCCTGTCTCCAGGCTGAGCCCCCAGCTCCCTCAGCTGCTCCTGCTCGATTTGTGCTCCAGCCCCTTCCCCAGCTCCGCTGCCCTTCTCAGGACACACCCAGCCCCTCAATGTCTCTTTTCTGACTCAAAACTGACCCCAAGCTGAGCCTTCTAGAATATTGCATCCAGTTCTGGGCCCCTCAGTTCCAGAAGGACAGGGAACTGCTTGAGAGAGCCCAGGGCAGAGCCCCAGAGATGCTGGAGGGAGGGGAACATCTCCCTGCTGAGGAAAGGCTGAGGGAGCTGGGTCTGTTGGGCTTGGAGAAGAGGAGACTGAGGGGCCACCTCATCCATGGGCACAAATCTGTTCAGGGCAGTGTCAGGAGGACAGAGCCAGGCTTTGTGCAGTGATGTCCAGTGACAGGACAAGGGGCAGTGGGTGCAAACTGGAGCCCAGGAGGTTCCATGTGAATCTCAGGAAGAACTTCTTTGCTGTGAGAGTGCCAGAGCCCTGGGCCAGGCTGCCCAGAGAGGCTGTGGAGTCTCCTTCTCTGGAGACATTCCAACCCCCCTGGCCACGTTCCTGTGTGATGTGCTCTGGGTGCCCCTGCTCTGGCAGGGGGGTTGGGCTGGGGGAGCTT